GGTAAAGCCTCTGACTGCTTAGACGGACTGCTTCCCCTCGGGTGTGTCCGTGGGGAAAAACCTTCCAAAAATACTAACGAAACACAAAACAGAGTGGCGGGGAGGCCAGCGATCCCCTGCGGCTGGGCCCTGAGGACAGCAAACCAGGGGCTTTAGAAGCCACCAGGGGCTTCTGTTGACAAAAGGATGCGGAGATGCCCCTTGGGTGGGGGCTCCCCTCCCGGGCGGCGCCAGCCTCGCCTCCACGCACCCCGGCTCGTGGCTCGCCCACTGGAAACGCGGCTGTACAAGTGCCAACTGTGTGGCAGGCAAAACTGACAAACCCCGCCTGTCTCGGCTCGCAGAGTGGCGGTGGAAATAAATAGTCAGGCGGCTGCCTGGGAGATTTCCTTCCCCCGAGTTTGCAAACACAGTCCATGTCCTAGATGTGCTGCGTTTAAACAAAGTATGTTCCTTAGTGCCTGCCGTCGGGAGCGGGGACTGTCACCATTTGGCAGTTACTAATGGAGGAAATCAAGAAACCTCACTCCCGGCTGCACGTGCACGTGGATGGGAGGGAAGCAGTGTTTATGGCTCGTGCTCGGGGACCAGATGCTGGTGGCGTCTCTGCTAGGACTTTGAGGCAAACGGAAACTGAGAACCAAGCAAGGCGCTATGTCTGGGTGGAGGGGAGGCATGCGTGAAATCTGCCACGTTTTCTCTTGCGTTTGATACCTGGCTGTAGGGTGCTGTCTATCATGGTTGGCTTTTCTGTGGTCAGCACAGTGGTACCACCTGAAATACAAAAACAGCAACACACGGAGATGAGAAAGGGACAACATCGCGGGCCGCGGGCAGTAGAGAGACACCACACGCTTACAGTCATCGGTCAGGGGCAAACAGTTCCCTTCAATAATCCTTCCTTTAATTCCAGCTGGAGTTAACTGTCCCACTTAAATTTTGCTCACCACAGCAAAAAGTTCTAATAAGCCACTAGTTTTCACTCAACACATTTACTCATAAAGCACCCAGGCGGTATGGAGGGTTCCAGATTTCCTTCTGAGGGCATTCCCTGACTCCCAGAGTGAAGGATGCTCGCAACAGAACAGTGAAAGGCAAAGGCCATGCTCCCAATATCATTAGTGACTCGGACATTCAACTTGACCTAGACCTCTAAGCTTGCAGTAGCTTCCCAAGGTTTCAGATGTGTGCCTTCGTGGGGGCTGCAAGGCTGGTCTCCACAAACTATTTTAAAAACTGAAGGTTTAAAGCAGATGACAGTGATTCCTCCTTTCTTTTGCTGCCAAAGCTGTTTGTTTTTCCCAAGGACGAGTATTGCACCCAGTCTGCGGATCAGAGAAGCTGCAGAAAAAGGAGGAGGGAGACACATTTCTTCACAGTCCCAAGGAGCTGGGAGGCCGTGCAAACAAAGCCCCGGACACTGTGAACCGCAGTTGGTCGAGGTGGACTGGAGCTCCCGGTCCGGGCGCCACGCGGAAGCTTGCCTTCGCCCTCTTAGCTTTGCTGTCTTAGCTCGGCCACTTCTCCCTCTTCATCATGAGACTTCTGATTTAAAGCACTGTTCTTCAAATTCAAAGAATCACCTGGATGCTTGTTGGAGAAACTGGTTTGCTGTTTATTCCTTAGGTGCTGGAGGAGGAAGCCGTTTCTCCTCCTGTGTGTCTGCCTGGCATTCAGGGCTGGAGATCATCTATTTGCTTTCCCAAGACAGAAGGCCCTGGGCAGACTCAGGGGAAGGGCGTGAATGAGCTCGTGAAACCGCGGGAGTTTGAGGGGCTTACACGGTGCCACTGTAACCATCCAGTAGCATCACACAGTAAAGCTTGTGACCATCTCGATCCTGGCCGAGCCCTGGTCCTATCCTGAAGCTCCCACGGATCAGAAATCACCCAGATCTTGAATCGGAGAGCCGTAAAATGGTGCTCTGGGGACAGCCTGCAGAGTCCTGTGCTAGTCACCTGCGACATGGTGTCAGGTGACCCCAGCGAATACGCTGGGCGGGCAGTCACACGTGTGCGTGTCCTCAGCGAGGCCGGCACCAGGAGATGGAAGTACGTGTATTGTGGGTTAAGAAGGTGAGTGTGTAATGGCAGGACTGGAGGGAATCCAGGACACGCTAGCATTCTGTTCCCCGCGGTCTCAGAGGAGAAAGACTCAAGGTGAAAATTCACTTCTGAAAAACGATACGCGTTGTCAGTTTTGTTAGAAGCCAAATCCCGCTGTTGGGCACACGCAGATCCACCGTGAAGTTTGGCCCCCTGGTGCCTTTGAAGACAACTGTATCACCCAACGGCTTCAAAGGCGTTTGCCAGCGAGTCACTTCCAGGGCGACTTTTTGCCTTGGCAAGCCGGCAGTGGAGAGCGAAAAGCTCGCCTCACTCCCAGGCGTCGGGCCAGTCCACCCGGACCCCAGCACTGCAGGTGGTGAGCGGCCTGCTACAGTTCTTCTCTCCCACGACATTCAAATGGGTCAGCCCCAGAGGAGACACGGAAGTGACACCCTCCGTGTTAAGGAACCAAAGCCCGCTTAAGAGGACAGCGAGCCCAGTTTCCAGGTTCACCCCTTTGGGGCTAAAGGGAGACCGCTTTTAGTTTGGTTTCAGGACATCGAACGCTCTCGGTCTGCAGCCGGGACAGGAGGCGCAGGGAGGGTGCAGGCTGGCGTGTGAGCCCAGGAGGTGAGATGCTCACACCTGGGCTAGGGGAGGCCAGGCTGCTTGCCACCACCAGCACGTGAGCACACCCTGCTTCAGAGAAGATGGACACAGGGCTTCCCAGAGCAAGATGAGCTTTGAAAAAAGGACAAACTGGCCACAGCCCAGGAATCGAATTTGAGGCGTGAGAGCGCCTTCTAAAATCACATCTTCCTGATGGGAGGTGTCGGGGGGTGTTATCAGCACCCCTAGAAGTTTTTAATAGATGCTCGTGTTGATGGAATAATTGAGACACCTGTGATGGCCTGAGAACATGGCTCTTGTTTGGCCACAGTAATTACAATGCATTTTTTTCTCTCTACCCAATAAACAGTCATAAACACTGTGGATAAACGCTAACCTTGTACTTTTAAAGGGCTGTCAGTGTCTCCCATCGAAATGGCCCATTTTCTGTGGTCTGAAACTCGCTACCACACACAGTTTCCTCCAGGCTAACACACTTGCCCCATTTCATTCAAAGGCTTGGGTTTCAATTGATTCAGCCATGAACTGATGTAGAAATGAGGAGGCTGGTGTTTTGAGGCGGGGAGACCGTCTGAGGCCCTGTCTCTGATCAGCGCTAACTGACCGCTGCCAGGTTTATGAAAGTGAGAGCGTCTCCTCAGGAGGGTGACTGGACAGAGGACTCTGCTGGCCGTGGCCCTTCCTTTTTATGAAGAATTTCACTACGGACATGTGACCGGCTTTGCAAAAAGCCTGAGGTCTGTGGAGTGTTTAATGGAGCAGCCCTGGGAAGGTTCCGGAGGACCTGCCTCTCAGACTGGGCCTCTGCTTTCAACATCAGCTGCCCAGTTTTCAGCTGGAGCGCGACATCTTACAGAGGAAAGGGCTCGGCATTAATCAGAGTAATTTCGGTGGCTTGCGGCTACTTACAGACAAGATTTGTTTTCAAAAGCCCACAGCCGTGAAATGTTTATTGGCCATGGACTGTGAGGGATTATTCTGGAAATTCGGAGGGAGAGAGACTTAGGAGGTGGGGTTGACTTATTTATTTAGGGGGAGGCGATTAGGTTTATTTATTTGCTTATTTTTCAGTGGAGGTGCTGGGGACTGAACCCAGGACCTCACGCACGCTAAGCAGGCAGTCTACCACGGAGCTGTGCCCCCACCCCGTGGAGGGGGGTTTTGCACGCAAGCCCAGGTCATGAGCTAGGTTTCACCCCATTCCATCTCAGAGCTCTCTCGCTCCTTCAGCGGAGAGCTTGGAAGTGACTGGAAATGTACCGTGGGACGCTTCCTTCCAGATTTTACATGAGCACGTTAGCCAGTGCCTGGCGTCATCATAAAGTTACCCGGAAACTAATTACGTGGCTACTCTGAATCTCTTCTGGGTGAAAATACAGACCTGCACCCAAGGCTCATGTTTAATGTAAAATGAGAGTCAGATGCTCTAAGAAACTGAGTTTGGACCTGGGTAGCAGGTAAGGTCCCCCAGTGCCTTTGGCCACAACAGCGTGAGAGTCCGAGTGCCTTGGCCAGTTTCCAAATGGTGCAACCCCACCTCCCCAACCACCTGACGCTTCCTCTGCTGGTCCAGGTGGAAGCAAAGGTCACGTTCTAGCTTTTAGGGTTTTAGAATGTTATAAAGGAATCCTCTGAATGAATCTGTGAGGCACTGGGCACATGCCATCCGTGATGTATTTGCGAGGGGAGACGTGAACTGATGACTCAGTCTGCCTTTATCCTAGTGTAACGTGATTTACCAAATCCTATCTTAAAAGCTGCATTTTCAATATAAGCCGGATTTCATCAATTAGTTGGACAAAGGATACACTCCAAAGATTTTATCCCTGCTGGGGAAAGAAAAAAGAAACCTCCCCTGGGGTGCGGTTATGTTTGGGCGGTGTGCGTGTTAGTGGGGGTGGGCTGGGGTTGAAGATGAGAATCACTTTATGTGACATTTAGCCTTGGAGAAATTCTTATGCAAGGAAGACAGCCCCGGTCTTTGGCTCTGAACATGGTAAAATGATTATTTTGAATGGCTGTGGTGGTGAAGGACAACTTGTTGACAGGATGTTGGGGGATGGAGGTGCCCATGGCTTGGCAGGGCTGCCTCCCCTGCGGTACCCTGATGCCTATGAGGATTCAGGCAAACACACACACACACACACACACACACACACACACACACACATTCACTAGCATGTCTCAAGCGCGACAGATCTGAAATGGCAGGGCAATGGGATGAAGATGGTTTCTGCACCTGTGAGCTGGAAGTCATCACCTGTTCCACTGTGGCAGCTGGTCTGGTCGTCATCACATTCGTCCACCAGGTTCCCATTGGGGGTGGTCGGTCCAGCTGTAGGCGCTGAAACAACACGCAAAGGTCATTTTCTCACACGTCTGAAATGGACTCCCCCACCCTGGGCCGCTGACTCTGTTAACGCTTTTGCAGAAAACTCTAATCTGTGGTGAACAGGCAGGAGCGTGGTTTGCCTCCCCTTCAGGAGAGAAATACACTTGGATTTTGCAGAATGCCCTGGGGACCACTCTGTTTGGGTATTTGATCCCTCGCTCCTTAGCAGAGCTGGCTGCCTTCACCTTGTACGAACTGTTATCTCCTTACACATCCTTTGTCTGGAAAGCTCTTGAATTCTCACTGGTTATTTATTCATGACCCTGGAGCTGGGAACTTTGATGGCAGAGATTTTGCTTGAACTGTTTTTCCTTTCACTTTCAAGGCGCTAGAGAACTCAGGTGTCATGACTTTTTTTACATTCTTGGTGTTTACTAAGTTTGCTAAGTTTATACTTTTTGTATGTATTTTTTTTTGCCCCAAAAGGGGAGTCTCAGCATTCACTTTTAGTACAATATTGTCCATCCTTCCGTCCTTCCTCCCTCCCTCCCTTCCTTTTCTTTCTCTTTCCCTCTCTTTCCGTCTTTTTTCTTTCCTTCCTTTCTCTCTTTCTTTCCCTTCCTTCCTTCTTTCCTTCCTTCCTTCCTCCCTCCCTCTCTTTCTTTCTTCCTTCCTTCCTTTCTTTTCTTTTCTTTCTTCCTTTTTCCCTTCCTTCCTTCCATCCTTCCTTCCTCTCTCTCTCTCTCTCTTTCTCGTCACTCCATTTCCCTGTGAGCCAGCTTCTCTGCTGGCAGTCCCTCCAGAGCAGGTGTCTGGGAGATCCCTGAGGTCACTGTTACCTGAACTCCCAGCAAGACTGCATTCCAGTGTTGGCCGCTGTTCCTACATCTTTGAGTTTGTGGTTGAAATGTAGCCAACGTTAATCAGAGACCGCTTTTGAAGGGCTTGCAATTTAGTTCCGTCTACTTTTTTTTTCTCTCAGCCTGTTACTCATTTTTGCAGTCTGTTTAATATTCCACCGTGTTCAGCATTACCTTTCACTTTATAAGACCTGAGATAATGTACAGTTCTCCTGACGTCTGAGAGCCGGACAAGATGCTGGGAGTGAGGGGGCTGCTCTCTAAGGGCTTCTGGCCAGTCAGGAATGTGCTGCTAACAGCTGCTTTCTCAATAAAAATTACACTGTTTGTTACTGTGCTTAAGTTCTGAGCAGAGTTATAATCTAGATAGACATACAATATACAATAAGGTAGAATATGTTTATAATGTATAAGTAACTATATTACATAGAAACATAGTTTCAACTTCTTCAGCTGCCCCAGAACACACACCAGTCATAAGTAAGGAATCACCCCGCCCAGAGAAGGTGCGCAGCGTTAGGTGCACAGTCTGCGCTTTGCAAAGTGCGCGCACACACGTGCTGGCCGCTCCTTGGCGCCACCACTGACTCAACAGAATCCTCTCTGGCGACCCGGATGCTTGCCTTTGCTAAGCTGCCCCGACTCCTGGTAACGTGCCCCTTTTAAACTCTCTATTCATCTTGCTGATTTTTCTACATTCCTTATGGTATTTATAGAGGAAGAATTTTTTTGCCTTGGAAGCGGCCCTGGGGTAGTATCTGGATTAAATTGAAAAAAAAATAGAAAGTCATTTTTATGCCCCAATTTTACTACTTGAGAATTTTTCCTTTCTAAGGTTCTCTAATGGTTTCTTCAATAAGAGTGCCAGCCCCAAATCAGAGGGGCATGTGTGGATGGCTGGGTGGTACCTCAACTTCTTTCTTCCTTTCTTCCTTCCTTTCTTTCTCTT